TTGGGAAATGGTTTTTTGAGAATTTTTTAACTAAAAGGATCATTTAGGGCATTTTTGATTGAGAATTTTCTAAGAGTTCGTTTAGGGAAATTATTTTTTGTATTTTTTAATTAAGGGGATCGCTTAGGGCATTTTTGATAGAGAATTTTCTAATGATTCGTTTGGAGAGATTGTTTTTGAGAATTTTTTAACTAAAGGGAACGTTTGGAACATTTTTGATAGAGAATTTTCTAAGAATTTGTTTGGGAAATGGTTTTTTGAGAATTTTTTAACTAAAAGGATCATTTAGGGCATTTTTGATTGAGAATTTTCTAAGAGTTCGTTTAGGGAAATTATTTTTTGTATTTTTTAATTAAGGGGATCGCTTAGGGCATTTTTGATAGAGAATTTTCTAATGATTCGTTTGGAGAGATTGTTTTTGAGAATTTTTTAACTAAAGGGAACGTTTGGAACATTTTTGATAGAGAATTTTCTAAGAATTTGTTTGGGAAATGGTTTTTTGAGAATTTTTTAACTAAAAGGATCATTTAGGGCATTTTTGATTGAGAATTTTCTAAGAGTTCGTTTAGGGAAATTATTTTTTGTATTTTTTAATTAAGGGGATCGCTTAGGGCATTTTTGATAGAGAATTTTCTAATGATTCGTTTGGAGAGATTGTTTTTGAGAATTTTTTAACTAAAGGGAACGTTTGGAACATTTTTGATAGAGAATTTTCTAAGAATTTGTTTGGGAAATGGTTTTTTGAGAATTTTTTAACTAAAAGGATCATTTAGGGCATTTTTGATTGAGAATTTTCTAAGAGTTCGTTTAGGGAAATTATTTTTTGTATTTTTTAATTAAGGGGATCGCTTAGGGCATTTTTGATAGAGAATTTTCTAATGATTCGTTTGGAGAGATTGTTTTTGAGAATTTTTTAACTAAAGGGAACGTTTGGAACATTTTTGATAGAGAATTTTCTAAGAATTTGTTTGGGAAATGGTTTTTCGAGAATTTTTTAACTAAAAGGATCATTTAGGGCATTTTTGATTGAGAATTTTCTAAGAGTTCGTTTAGGGAAATTATTTTTTGTATTTTTTAATTAAGGGGATCGCTTAGGGCATTTTTGATAGAGAATTTTCTAATGATTCGTTTGGAGAGATTGTTTTTGAGAATTTTTTAACTAAAGGGAACGTTTGGAACATTTTTGATAGAGAATTTTCTAAGAATTTGTTTGGGAAATGGTTTTTTGAGAATTTTTTAACTAAAAGGATCATTTAGGGCATTTTTGATTGAGAATTTTCTAAGAGTTCGTTTAGGGAAATTATTTTTTGTATTTTTTAATTAAGGGGATCGCTTAGGGCATTTTTGATAGAGAATTTTCTAATGATTCGTTTGGAGAGATTGTTTTTGAGAATTTTTTAACTAAAGGGAACGTTTGGAACATTTTTGATAGAGAATTTTCTAAGAATTTGTTTGGGAAATGGTTTTTCGAGAATTTTTTAACTAAAAGGATCATTTAGGGCATTTTTGATTGAGAATTTTCTAAGAGTTCGTTTAGGGAAATTATTTTTTGTATTTTTTAATTAAGGGGATCGCTTAGGGCATTTTTGATAGAGAATTTTCTAATGATTCGTTTGGAGAGATTGTTTTTGAGAATTTTTTAACTAAAGGGAACGTTTGGAACATTTTTGATAGAGAATTTTCTAAGAATTTGTTTGGGAAATGGTTTTTCGAGAATTTTTTAACTAAAAGGATCATTTAGGGCATTTTTGATTGAGAATTTTCTAAGAGTTCGTTTAGGGAAATTATTTTTTGTATTTTTTAATTAAGGGGATCGCTTAGGGCATTTTTGATAGAGAATTTTCTAATGATTCGTTTGGAGAGATTGTTTTTGAGAATTTTTTAACTAAAGGGAACGTTTGGAACATTTTTGATAGAGAATTTTCTAAGAATTTGTTTGGGAAATGGTTTTTCGAGAATTTTTTAACTAAAAGGATCATTTAGGGCATTTTTGATTGAGAATTTTCTAAGAGTTCGTTTAGGGAAATTATTTTTTGTATTTTTTAATTAAGGGGATCGCTTAGGGCATTTTTGATAGAGAATTTTCTAATGATTCGTTTGGAGAGATTGTTTTTGAGAATTTTTTAACTAAAGGGAACGTTTGGAACATTTTTGATAGAGAATTTTCTAAGAATTTGTTTGGGAAATGGTTTTTCGAGAATTTTTTAACTAAAAGGATCATTTAGGGCATTTTTGATTGAGAATTTTCTAAGAGTTCGTTTAGGGAAATTATTTTTTGTATTTTTTAATTAAGGGGATCGCTTAGGGCATTTTTGATAGAGAATTTTCTAATGATTCGTTTGGAGAGATTGTTTTTGAGAATTTTTTAACTAAAGGGAACGTTTGGAACATTTTTGATAGAGAATTTTCTAAGAATTTGTTTGGGAAATGGTTTTTCGAGAATTTTTTAACTAAAAGGATCATTTAGGGCATTTTTGATTGAGAATTTTCTAAGAGTTCGTTTAGGGAAATTATTTTTTGTATTTTTTAATTAAGGGGATCGCTTAGGGCATTTTTGATAGAGAATTTTCTAATGATTCGTTTGGAGAGATTGTTTTTGAGAATTTTTTAACTAAAGGGAACGTTTGGAACATTTTTGATAGAGAATTTTCTAAGAATTTGTTTGGGAAATGGTTTTTTGAGAATTTTTTAACTAAAAGGATCATTTAGGGCATTTTTGATTGAGAATTTTCTAAGAGTTCGTTTAGGGAAATTATTTTTTGTATTTTTTAATTAAGGGGATCGCTTAGGGCATTTTTGATAGAGAATTTTCTAATGATTCGTTTGGAGAGATTGTTTTTGAGAATTTTTTAACTAAAGGGAACGTTTGGAACATTTTTGATAGAGAATTTTCTAAGAATTTGTTTGGGAAATGGTTTTTCGAGAATTTTTTAACTAAAAGGATCATTTAGGGCATTTTTGATTGAGAATTTTCTAAGAGTTCGTTTAGGGAAATTATTTTTTGTATTTTTTAATTAAGGGGATCGCTTAGGGCATTTTTGATAGAGAATTTTCTAATGATTCGTTTGGAGAGATTGTTTTTGAGAATTTTTTAACTAAAGGGAACGTTTGGAACATTTTTGATAGAGAATTTTCTAAGAATTTGTTTGGGAAATGGTTTTTCGAGAATTTTTTAACTAAAAGGATCATTTAGGGCATTTTTTGATTGAGAATTTTCTAAGAGTTCGTTTAGGGAAATTATTTTTTGAATTTTTTAATCAAGGGGATCATTTAGGGCATTTTTTGATAGAGAATTTTCTAAGGATTCATTTGGGGAGATTATTTTTGAGAATTTTTTAACCAAGAGATCGTTTGAAATATTTTTGATAGAGAATTTTCTAAGAGTTCGTTTGAGGAGATTATTTTTAAGAATTTTTTAACCAAAGGGATCGTTTGGGACATTTTTTAACAGAAAATTTCTAGGAGTTCATTTGGGGAAATTATTTTTTGGGATTTTTTTTAACTAAAGGGATCATTTGGGACATTTTATTTTTAATAAAGAAATTTCTAAGAATTCATTTGGAAGATTTTTTGAGATTTTTTTAATAAATCTTCTAAGGGTTCATTTGGAGAGATTTTTTAAAAAAATTTTTTAACTAGAGGGGTCATTTCAAATATTTTTTTGATGAGAAATTTTCTAAGGGTTCATTTGGAAAAATTTTTTTTTTTGATAATTTTTTAATCGAAGGGGTCATTTGGATTGAGAAATTTTTGTTTTACGACGTAATTTTACCAAATTTAATTATAAATGTATTCAGGCTATAAAATAACATGTGGTAAGTTACGTTACGTAATATTGTTATCATGTGATCACATGATTTAAATATTTACATTTCGCATTTTTGTTTATCTTATTAAAACCTTTTCTTCGTTCTCAATTTTTTTTTACTTAAAAACACAATTTTTTATCTATTTAATATATCCAGAAATACATATTTTTATATTTTTTTTTTATTTGTTATATCTAGAAATGCATAAAAAGGTATATATTACTAATATTTCTTTTCTTTATTAATGTTTTTCTACCATTTTTTTTTCGTTTCTTTCTTTTCTTTTACTAATACTCCTACTAATATATTTTTTATTATTTTTTTCTACTATATTAACATTTTTACTATTTAATATTTTCTATTAATATTATATTACTACTGATATACGTTCTCTTTCTACTAACATTTTTTATTCTACTAACTTTTTCTTTCTGCTAATGTTTCTACTAATATTTTCTATATTTATATATCTATACTAATATTTTTTAATAACATTCTCTTTTCTCTTACTAATATATTTATCATTAATGCTTCTTTTAAATAATCAAACAGGTATAAGCAAACAAGTGATTTTATTTTTATGCTACTTTTAGTAGAAGTTATATATTATATATATTTATTCAAGTATTCAAGTATAATTAGTATAATTGTTTTTTTTTAATTAAAAAGTGTAAATAAATTTAAATTGTAATAAAGTTTTGAATTAAAATTAAAAAAATATATAAATTATGATTGCATTTTATAATTTTTTTGCCTGAATTAAATTATAATAAATTTACTAGTATTAATACGAAATCATTATCCTATATCTATCCATCTGATATCTGTATGATATCTGTATGATATCTATATGATATATATCATAATATATCGGGTACCCAATAAGTCTATGATATGTGACCAATATTTAACTACCCGATATGTGTAAGATGTATATGTGATATGTACATGATGTGTCACCGTTTTTCTACATTTCTACTACACATATTGGGTACCTGATATGTGTAGCATTGTTAAATATAATATACATATATCACATATATTGTACACATATCAGGTACCCGATAGGTACCCGATAGTATTAATTTTGACCAGTGACATGGGCTGAAATCAATGACTTCGTTGTTGGTAAAACTATGGAAAATCTCAGGAAGCACCAAGAAATATAAAAGGCTTACCTAGAATATCTTATTAGCGATAAAGTGAGGGGCGTATACATATACCATCTTCTAGCATCTCATTACATTTACTTTCATTGCTAAATTTGGAATCTAAAGCTTTTAAATATGCTATATCTAAATACCACATTACTTCCTTTATCCATTCATCTATGTTGTATTCTATCTGACTTAGTAAACGTCTTAGTGATGGTCTGTATTGTAACATTTTGTAAACAAATATTTTTTTTCAATTAATTGCTTGCCCACCTTATGAAGGTAAAAAAAAAAGAAGATGGATTAATACCGCCTCTCTAAACTAATCCTAATCATCACTACCATATTCTATGTCTTCAGGAGTTAGCCCATCCTTAAGCAATTGGATGGTGTACGTCATTCAGATGTACTCTCCTGAATCAGATTCTCTTGTTACAAAGCTACAACGGAGAATAGCTTGTTCTACTGCTACCATTTCTGCAAACCTGGTATGTCTTTTTTTACAAGCTTTATCATATTTTCCAAAAAATTTTTCAATGTTCTCATTCCTAATCCGTAATACTGATTTATAGTAAACCTTTGTGGCTTTCTTATATTCATCTACTGCCCTGTCATATGCTTTTTCAGCTTCTTTATGCTGTTTCCATAACTCGTTCTTACAATAGTAGTACCAGAATTTATGCTATAAGATCAGAGACTGTGCAGCTGAAGATTGTCTGCTGTATACATATTGCTTTTTAGGTATCGTTCTACTACTGATTTACCCATTATTCAATTACATTTTTTCTAAGTATAAGGGAATTGTAGTTAGATTATATGGTGATGTAGTTAGACTATATGGTGGTACCTAGATTATATGATGGTGGTAGTTAGACTAGATGGTATCTAGATTATATGATGGTAGTAGTTAGATTATAGTAATATTTTTTTATTTTTATTTTTATTTTTAAAATGAAGACCGTTACTGGGGTCGCACTATACATAGGAAATGATACAAACATAGTAAGATCATATTACTCCAAGCTAAAGATCAACCCAACCTCTCAAACGAATCAAAGGATCACCCAGTCTCGCTCCACAAGGAACACAGGCTTAGCCACAACTCAAGCTACGAACCAAATAGAACAAAAGACACTCAAACACTAATTTAGTGATAGTTCCTGAAAAAAAAAATTATTCTGCCTATTCTGAATAAAATCTATTATTCTATTAGCTACTAAATCTTTAAGAAAAAAAAGGATGACAACCACCCAGCATCAGCCGAGTAGAATACTTAAACTAATTTTCACAGTAAGGATAAAATTTCTGCTAAAACCACCAAGTTATCCTTATTACCTCCTTTATCCCTAGACTTCTTATTGGACTTCGACTTCTGGGATTTGGGATCCTTCAACAGGTTTTTAGTAGAGTTGGCTTGCTTTTTAGTACTAGTCGAGGATTTCAGGTCCTTCTTCTTAAGGTTAACGTTACCAGACTATTGCACGGATTTCCTGGGCTTTTTGTCAGGAACATTCTTTGCCTTTTGTTTGGTTGGTACTTTCTTCAAGGTAGGTAAAGAGTGTCGACACCATCACAACTCCTGAGAATTCTTCCAGAAAGCTTGCAGAATTCCTAGGGCTTTGAGTGTAGCCTCCTAATTCTCAAAATATCCTACAAGCTTCCTCTTACCTTTACTTGTTTTTATAATTTTAAATGCGCTAGCACCGCACGTCATTAAAAATGATTGTGGTTTACGGTCAGCCTACAAGGTACCATCATCATGTCTTCCGGAATATCGTGAATGACAGCTTGGAACTTTTCACGTTGTTTTCTTTCTCGTAAAGTCCAACTTGCAGGGAACCATCTCATAGGTATACCTTCTAGGCCAGTCGTCCAGAATTTGGTAAATTGGGGAAGGATAAATGAGTTCAAAACTATTTTGACTCTAAGAGTCTGGTATTTGTGTTGCCGTTTTAATGACAACTTAATAGTTTTGCCCCATAACGTTAATTCTCCTAAGATTTTTTCAACGTCCCAGATATACGGAATGTCGTATACAATATGTCTCTGACTTGCTCTCGCTCATCTTTGGCTTCTCGTTATCCGATCAGTATATGTGTGGCCCCAGGTGTGGAAGTTTTTGCCCCCAAAAATAAGGTATTTTGTTTGTCTGGGGTTTGTGCCTCAGGTTTTGCCGTATATGATTGGTATATGACTTGTTTATCATCTGTAACACGCGCCTTTTGTTTATCTTTCTTCCAGAAAGTTTCGGGTGTCACAGTTTGATCAACAGGGGTCATTTCCACATCTGGCAGTATTGGGGTATAACATATACTGGTTTTAGAAATTCGTCATCAGCGGAGGGACATTCTGATTCTGAGTCACCCATATCACCAAATCTAGTATAGGCGTGGGTCGCAAAGAAATCCTACAATTTGGACAAAGCGTAAAGAGCTATAGAAAATAAAAGTGAAAGGGTGGTTGGTTGTATATTCATCGCTGCCGCCTGTTGAGCGAAGTTGTTTGGATTGGAAGACTCACCAAACATATCTACTAAAAGCTGTGCTTTATCCACAGGTTGCTGTGGGTTTTTATCAAACAAAGTTTTTAGGAAGCCGTTCTCAACAAACCGTCCAAGCTGAAAAGTTGTGTAAGATAAAAATGACTCCCATTCTTCTGAAATAAACTGTAAAAAGTCTTCTTCAGAGTAAGTTCTAACTGAGTCTCCCATGTTCGACATTTTTATTTTATGTAAAAAATTTTAATAAAGTGAAAAAATTTAAAAAAATTTAGTACAGAAATTTTTGTAAAAATGAAAAGGAGAAAGAGTTTCAGATTATAGTAATAGTAATAAGACCAATATGAACTCTATATGCAGGAATAGGCCATGTGCTATGATAACTCGATTTTGGTAAACAAAGGCGTTGTAGAGCGAAACATAACATGTTCAAATCCATAGAATCGAAGGCCTTTGAGATATCATGAGAAAGGCATATAGGCGGATTTGATTCACAGGATAAAATTGCTTTATTGCCTCATTGGTCCTTTTGCGTAATACTAAACTGATCAGCAAACACAAGATTTCACATCAGGTGAGTTGTAGATCAATTGAAAAAAATTTTTTTTTTAACTTGCCAATGTTAAAAAAAAAAATATTTTAAAAAAAAACCGTGTTTTAACCCATTTGACATAGTTACAACCCATCTGATTTAAGGTATGTCAGTCTGTGAGTTGTATGAATATTTAGGGCTGGAGTTTTTTTTATTCTTTTGGCTAGTTTTCTATTTCTTTTTTTTTTTTTCTTTTTACCTTTTAGANTGGAGTTTTTTTTTATTCTTTTGACTAGTTTTCTATTTCTTTTTTTTTTTTTCTTTTTACCTTTTAGATCTAAGTTTTTTAAATAATAATTATTGTTCTAAATTCTCCCTTTTTGCTTATATAGGTTCATTTGAGAAGACTTATTGTAAAGATATTTTGAAAGTGAATTTTTAAAAAGATTTTGGATGGTTATCTTTATATTTCACTATTTTTTTGTCACAAGTGTTGAGCATTCAAAATGTTTTATGTTTCTTATTATACTTAAATTTAAAGTTTTATAAATACTGTAATAGATTAAATTTATAATTTAAAAATCAATTTTTTAGTTTTAACTTGAAGACTCGTATACTACTTGTGTACTTTTTAAAATTAGAAATTAAATTAAAAAGAAGCAAAAATAAAAAAAAAACATTTTATTGGAGTGCCTTAGCGTTATCATATGATGTTACACTGATCTACATATCATAAATCTGGCCAAAATTATGTTAATTCCAGCCAAAATTAAAATCGTATCAAAATTGATTTTTTTTAATCACACATCTTTATGGATATCGTGCAATGCATCCATAACTTTGCTGTACTTGCATAATGCATATTTAGGTGATGAAATAAATCTGCTGATATGGATCCACAAGGGTTATTTGGTGACCATAGAATCATGAATAATAGATTCCAAAGTAATCTGGGAAGACCAGCAAAGTTACCCCCGTGTAAAACATCATGAGAAGCCAAGATAGAAGAGAAAAGTTTAACCAAGGTTTTACGAATCACTTCAAGCAAAGTGATTGGACACATGTTTTTGAGTTAACATTTCCATTCGTGTGGTTTGGAAATCAGAAAAACAGTAGCTCATAAGATAACATAGAAGGACCAGGAGCCTTATCATTAGACATGGTAGACACTGTAAATAACCATTCATCTAGGCTGGGAGGGTCTATAAAAAAATCATAAATATTAGACGAAAAATTATCAAGTGGCTTGTAAGCATCCAACCATCTATCTGGCAAAGTATCAAAATTTTGAAAGTGATTGATGACTTCTTTATCAATGTCTTCAGGAGAAGTGAGGAGTGTAGAATGAGTAGGATGGTCCACAAACCCTGTCCAAAGTTATTTGTGTCTGATGCATGAAAAGTGGACTCAATAAAGGTGGAGGTGTCAGATTCAAAATTATCATTTCTAGCATCAATTTTTACTTCTTTTTCTTTTAACAAAAAAATTCCTTGCAAAAGTAAAGTCATTTGCTTCAACAAAGAAAGTAAATCAGAAAAATCATTGTTTCTGCATTCATGAAGAGAAGGGAAATAATTAAAGGAGAAGTAAATGTATTCTTGTAGGTAGATAAAATCATATTAATACAAATAAGATATGTAGATCACTTGTATTTATGATGGGAAGAATAGAGCAAAGTATTTTTATGAAGAAGACGTATAGTATTAAACACTTTGAAGAGGAATTGATAAGACAGAATTAAAGATTCTAAATCTTTGGAGCGTAAGTATTACCAATGGTAATAGATAGCAATTCAGCATTAGCTGCTTTAATTTTGGTTAAGAGGCCATGAATTGAATTGAACCATATCAATCTGACAAAGAGAATCCAGTTTTTCAGCATAGTTATCCCATTGAGAAAGGGAAACTGAATCAAATTTAAAAATCGTCTAGTGTTATGACAGGCACGGGCAGGCTTAATAGCATCAGAAAGTAATAAAGCATCATAATAGATGATAACAGGATTATGGTCAGAAATGTGTAAGTCTTGTGCATCAAAAATTGATGCAGTTAACATGTATCATCTAAGAAAAGGGCAGGATTAAACATAGTCGATACAAGTCATTACATCTACAATCTTCATAGTCATGGGATAAAAGGTAATAAAACAACCTATAAACACATTTAGCAGCGGCTTGCAATGTTAAAAAATAGAATAAAATTTATTTAATAAATTCATATTGAAATCATCACAAATAACATGATGAAAATTTTATGAAGTAGTGAAGATAATAAAAGAAATTAATTGATCAATAACTTCAGAGGAAAGAATAGGATCATTAGTAGGCAGAATATAAACTACGAAAATATGAAGCTTAATATTGCCTTTGAAATATAAATCTACTGATAGAATATGGAAAGAATGTGATTCATAAAACTGAACATGGGTAGCTAATGAGTTGTAAATGAATAAAGAGACACCACCAGAAGAATGGCTGTGTCATGAGGAATCAAGGTCAGAATGGAAAGAAGAATAATCACTAACTCGCTTAGAAAAAAATTCATTTGTTTAGGGGGAGATGGGTATCAACAATACCGCCAAATGAAAAATGCTTCTGGGAAAAAAAGGAGGAGACTTGATCTATTTTAAAAGAACCATGGCCATAGGATTTAAAACCATTAATGTTGAAGAAGGAAATGTTAAAAGAATTAGAGATAAGAGAATTATTAGGAAAATTTAAAAATAAAGAATTGGATAAAGGATCATTAATAATATCAAAGGGGTTAGGGGATTACGCACAAAGGTATCAAAATCGAGAAGATCCATTTTGTTTTTAATGTTAGTTTGAGTAACATGAACATTGATATATTCTTGACTATGTGATGGGATATGATGTGAGGTGAGGGAACCATTAGAAGCAATAACAATACTAGATGGAAAGGATAAAGCGGTGTAGAGGTTATAATGGGTATAAACTTGATGGTCATTTGAATGGGCGAGGAATCCTCAATTATAGGAGAGGGACCAGTATTAATGGGAGTAGTTGATGGAAAACCTTGAGATCCATGAATGACCTATCTGGATACTTATACAGCTATATGAATATCTGGATGATAAACAGATTTTATGGATATTTTCAGATATTTTCGAATAAATTTGTATATCATATAATAATGATGAATGATCTACTGCTTGTGACTTGTGGCTTTTATTATCTGTCCTTAAAATTAAATAATAGTTGCATTTTTTAATGATACACGTTTTTTCTTTGTTTTTTTTCATATCGGGTATTAAAACATGACATATATTATCACCGTTTTCAAATTAGTGTGATTAGGTGATTTGTCATCAATTAAAATTATTCTGATAAAACACCAAAAACAACCGAAACCAATTTTTTGAGTGATTATTGGTTCATTATTATCTGTGTTCCTGATCATTTCCCTAATTTAGTTCTATATAATAAAAAATGCTACGCGAAAAAAAAGTTTTGCGTCAGTTAAAAATTACCAGTTCAAATGACAGAACTCAATTGCAAATACCTTTTAGGTACATGTTATACTTGTCAAAAATGCTTATACTACTTTGAGTTTCCACAACCAGAGTCATGTAAATGTAATAAAAATAAAAATCTACAAGAACTAAAAATCCAAAACGTGCACAACAAATATACCAGCGCATTTTCAAGCCAGATTCATTATTTCCAGAAGCAAATAAATTTTTGTTTGACGCTAATGAAAAGTATGGTTATAATAGTAACTTTGAAAAATCATTTTCCTACACCTTTTGTAGTACTTGTAATAGCAAAACTCAATGGTACAGAAGTATTGACAAGAAAAACCATCACTCCAAGTGATTTATCAAATGAAAAAGAAGTTGAAAATGTTGATAAAAAAGAGAATCATCGAATATTCTTTTTGGTGAGTAGTGATTCTGAAAAGGGAGAGGATGTTGATGATGTAGAAATTGATTATGAAGATAGTAATCTTGAAGAAATAAAAGTGCAGATACTTGTTAAAAGTAACAATATAAAGGTACCTATGGCGAAAACTTTGAATATTGAACCTATTAGATATAAAAAAGTTATGGAAAAAATAAGTTCAATAGTTCAAAAGACTTTGAAAAAAAAAGTCAAATCAAAAGATTATACAATATCATACAAGGCAGTAAATGCACATGGACCTTCAAATGAACTTGAAGATGAATCAGATTTTCAAGAATTTATTAGTGAGTATAAAAGGATGGCAAAAATTTGACAAAGAAAAAAAAGTCACGTAATAAGGTAAAGTTTTTACACAACTTATAGTGTAATAGTATATAACAAATGAATTTTTAACATTTATTATTTCTTAATGTTCTGATGAAAGTGAAGTTTCTTCTGAAGAATTGCAATATACAAAGAAGAAAAAATCATGTGCCATTCGTGAAGAAGATTTATCAAAGGAAGAGAGAGAAAGGTCCAAAGTAATTTCTACTTTATGTAAAATGTATAAATGTAATATACATACAACACAGCATAGCGAACATGCTTATATCACCTTGCCGATCATTTGCCGATCATATTATATGTGATATCACACTAATTTTGAGACTTTATTCCAGGCCATAAATATTCTAAAAAATAATTTTAAATTGTTTTTTTAATAGTATAATATATTAATAATTTAGTATAAAAATTTTGTAGCAAAATAAAATGTGGCGCCAAAGTTAGCTTTAGGCCGAAATTTTCAATATTTGATATATATGCTGATCATTTCCTAATCGGACTTTGGAGCTTCGGGCGAAGCCACAGATGTTCGGGCGAAATTTGAAACTTTTACAATATATTAATTAGGTATTCAAGAATTAATGGCTAAAATAACCAAGAATAATTTTTAATAACCAAGAAGTTATCATTAAATAAAGACTTGCAATTGTTATAAGGTTAATAA